ATCTATAATTCTTTCTTATCCATCATCAAGTGTCTGATCTGTTGTCCCTCCATCATTTGAATTACTCACTCAATTGGCATGTACCTTGTTTGTAAACTTTTAAATATTTGTTTTTGGCTATTTTCATGATATAAATTACTTACAAGAGTAATAATGGCATATTCAGCTGTCAGCTGTGCAGCATGGAACAATGTTTTAATAAATTTGTAGATATGTCGGCTCTCTGGGTCTATTTTATCATAATTATCTGGTACAGGGTCATGCTGGAATGATAATGAGCAAGACATAACTCAATACAAATTGAAAAACCAATTAAACATGGGAGGGCATCCAATGATAATAATGTAATGTTTACATACTGTAAGTGGATGGAGCTTTTCATCGAATATATCCAAGCTCTGTACATTGTCATCCCTGTAAAAGGAAWATCATGAAGTAATTCATGACAATGCTTTGTAGAATCCAAACTAAGGCAACTTACCTGTGTCGAATGTGATAAAATACAGCTAAGGCCACACTAATCAAAACAGAAAATATTTAGAATTATAATAATCAAATTCCATGCAATATTGAAATAACTATTAAATACAGAATGGTAGCATGATCATTCATGTGGCTCAATTTCCAGCCCGGAAACAAGTCTTGGATCAACACATGGTGGTTCTCACAAGCCTGGAGGTTTATTTGTGTTGTCTTTCTTTTTTTAAATCAAAGAAAAAATAGTTCAACACAGCAATTTGAAGTATAATAGCATCTTTTATACAACAATTGATTCTGAATACATTAACTTTCAAGTGTTGATAATTAGCAGGTGCTAAAATCTCACAATGCACTTTTCAATATCATACCATTTTATAGTAGATTTGAGATTTGGTTGACTGACAGTACTGTCATCAATAAAGATTGTTGAGCATGAGTTACACTTTCTCAATGTCTTTGAATCAATTGCCTGATGACAAGAAACAAGCATTTGTCAGGTTTTTGAGGAATTTATATTAGTAAAACTTTGGAATTGAAATAGGAAACCTTGTTACTGCTTTATTCCAAAAAAAATCATATATGTAAATATAATGAAAGGAATATATTCAATGGCTGCTGTCATACTCACAGAGTGCAACAACCAAAATATATCAGTAAAAAGAGACAATAGAAATTTATTGATGTGAAATGCAAAAATATCGTGATGTCCAAACTACGTAGACAGTCCAGCTAAGAAAATGGTGATTATCAAAAAATAGAATTAGCCTGTATTTTCATCAGTTGCCATTTTATGATAAGACTTAAAACTAGGYTATTYAAAMKTTTTATTATATCCMAAMATATAATAGAATAAATTATAACAAYAACAGGCAAAATTATCTCACATTTGACCCATTTCTTCTTCTTGAATCTGCAATCATTGACATGGAACGTCTTCCAGCCACAACTATCAGACCATTCCCTGCAACGACAATTAMATTTCACACATTAATTATTATTTACTTGTTTCTTAGGTAGCTGTCAGGGCTACCAATCGATTTGCATGACTTGATATCAGCAAGCAACAATTTTCATTGAAACTTGGTAAAGCATGTCATTATTAACAATTAAAGTAATAATACAACCAATCTAATTCAAATCACRTGCACTGAACCATAACTCATCAAGTCATTAACAAAATAATGATCCAGATATCTTTTTTCTTCATCACAAGAAACTTAATCTGTTGACAACTCATTAATGCTGCCAGTGATTTTTGTTAAGAAAYGACCACAAACTGGTTCCATCAAATCAATTATTAAATTTGTCAAACAACCAGAGAGCAGTAGATAAGATGTTGATCACTTTGTACAAAATTGCACTTGAGCTTAAGAGCACACAAATCAAATGATGAGCTCCTCAATAAGGTTCAAAAGCTCAGCAAATTGGAACAGGCCTCAACAGTCAAGTAATCTATAMAGGAAGTGATGAACCTTGCAATGAAAAATCTTATACTTCTTAAATAAAAAATAAAGATATTAGAAAGCCTCAACTTCCTCTGGAGTGCAGRATCTCCAAACTGAGCTGTTATACTGTACTCCTACATATATGAATAAAATTATGTTGATGTCCATGCTTATTGTTATGCATATGTCTAGTGAAAAACAACATTGTTATAAAGTTTTATATGAGATTCAGCTAATATGTCAAAATYTTATGTGCACGAATAACCATCATACTTTGGTAAACATACTGAAAATTTTACCATATGATATTCAAAAATATAGTACATCTAAGATCTTATTGGAAATCAAATTTTAGGGTAGATTAATGTGTTAACTTGTTTAGTTAGAGGTCTTGAAGTCAAATAAAATATTTTATCTGTTAGCTAGTGAACAATGGTCTCAGCAAACTACGCCATCACCTTTACAGAAAACTTTTGTTTCTAAGGCTAAAATCAAGATTTGCATATATGAATGATCAATCATCGCCTCGGTAAAGAGTTCTGATCTATATATCAGTAAATGTATTCTCTGCTATGCAAACATTCAATTTTTCAAGAGTTATATGTGGCATTTGAAGCCACTTAATAGCAATCTGTATGGTAAAAATACTGTTTCAGTGTCATTCACATGTTTAGACCTTTTTAGCGCWATTGATGGATAATTTTTGGCATTGAAGTCACTCACTATCTGAAACAATACGTAGTGCAATTATCATACAAAACATTCGAATCAGTATATCTGAAAATAATTGCTTAGAACTTGTRTGATAATTAACGATTTTCAAATTGAAAACAAATGCAGAAATGGCTCCAYGATTTACGATTTTGAAGTATCTGAAGAAAAGGTTGTAAGATACAAGTTTCCCATGCAGCAGTATCTTTGTCAAGACCCTGATCAGATTTAGTGATACTTCAAGATAAATAGTAATATTTACAGCAGTGTATTGAATTACCTGAATTGGATTTCTGACTAAACAAAGTCCCACGATGATCGGAGAGGTCTGAATAAAATAGATGGTCAAAAAAAACATTAAAAATAGCGTGCTCCAAAGCTGTTGTCAAATAAAAACCCATTCCAGGTCTTTATAACACGCAAAAACCTGCCTGACATTTGCATCTAGCAACAGCATTTGATGATGATTTAAAAGTATAAATGAAGCTTACCTTCTCGGTCGCTTATATGAGGCAACTCTAGCGTTTCGCCGGTTTCTGCAAAGCCCCCATAAGGCTCGTTTGTGTTGGTGGGTCGGCCTTGAGGTGATGGCAGTATACAACAGTGAATGTTGCCCATGCCGTACAAATCGACGCCGTTAGCTTGCTAACCACGTCTAAATTTACTATTTTATCATCTCATGTATAGTTTGAATAACAATCTCGATACTTAGGGTTCACATTTCAAGATATCGTCCTGATTCCCATAAATAAGTTGAGGTGAAGAATTTCCAGCCAAGAGAAGAATCGATTGAAACGAACAACAAATAATTGCTTCTTGAGAATCCACTCCTCTGATTGGCCAATAGTAATGACGTAACTTAGGTATACCACAAATACCCGAGGAGCCTCGGGTTAGTATTTGTTATCGTATCGAGATATGGAATTAAAATTAATTCTTTTATTTACAAAGAACTACTGTTTTTATCTCTTAAAGTATAACATGCTTTCTTAGACTCAAAACAGGGATCAAATTTTCTACCTTCGACAACATTCTATCTGACGCATCATCACTAATACATCCTAATAAAATATTATCCTCATCCAAATTTTTTTTGAAGATCTACCGTAAATTTAAGCTAAAACTTACTCCGATTTGTGAAAAATATACTCTGCATTTTGTTCCAAGCAGGCGCAGAAAATTTTGACCGTGAGTTGTGAGAAGTCTAAGTACTATAGCAACAGTGGTACGTTGACAACCACTCAATCCGCCATATTTACATCTGAACCATCTCGAGGGATATTTTAATCTGTTAGTGAATCGCTATTTTAGCCCAATTTTGAGGCCTGATCTTACAAAAAACAATGTACGAAGACGACGAAGAACAAGAGGAAGGACCAAAGAGTTCATTTTCGACATATCTCGCAGAGGGTGACGTTCTTTTCAAGCAAGGAGAGTACAAGAAAGCTTTAGATAGCTACTCGTTGGTAAGAGGACACTACGTTAAAAAAATGAAAATAATTATTTTGTATCTAAATTGTTGCCAGATATAAGCAATGATTCAATACGTCTTACTTTCATATTGGATTTATTAGTTCTTGACATACGTTAAATTACGAGAACATATTAAGCTTAAGCTCGCATCACTAATTCATAAGTTAAGTGCAAAACACAAATATCAAATGGTACTCCTTGATATCTGGTTTGTACATCCAAATAATATTAATCGGTAATTAATCATGATTGTGTTTTTTACTGCAATCAATATTCAATATTTAAAATTGCCCACTATTTCAATCCACCATGCATGGATTTATACTATGATTCCTGAGTGCAAATTCATGAGAAACAAGAATAGTATAACAAAAAATACTGTATGTGTAGTAATGATGATGAACCAGAATGACATGGTGTATGGTACCCGTGTGGGTCGCCTTTGCAAATTTTGACTTTTTTCTGACTAATCTTAGAATGTTCCAGGGCAAGTCTCCATTGATCTTCAATAATTTCTTCTCAAGATTTTTTTGATTTTACCATTTGAAACCATTTGTCATTCATGATTGATTACTATCTTTCAGGCATTAGAGTTAAAGCCAACAGACAAGTTTTGCCTTGTTGCTAGGTCAAAATGCTATCTTCAACTTGGAGATAATGCTTCTGCTCTTAAAGATGCTGAGGCAGCACTTGAGGATGATAAGGAATTTAACAAGGTAATACTTTTTTGAGGTCAACTGTGTTCTGTTGATAATAATGACAGTAGTTTTGTTTATAAAGCTTGATCAATAAAATCCAWTGGWTGACAGAAGAATAACAATAGATTATTCAATTATGGCTTTGATTAGGGTTTGTACCAGAAGGCTGAAGCTCTTTATGCCATGGGTGACTTTGAGTATGCTTTGATGTTTTATCATCGAGGAAATCAGCTAAGACCTGAGTTGCAGAAGTTTAAACTTGGAATTCAGAAAGCTCAAGAGGCAATTGATAATTCTATTGGAGGTATTCACATGCTGTTTTGTATATCTAGCCTTGTAAAGTTTAATTGTACTAGATCTATTGCACAACATTGTTCATAATAATGGTGACAATCACAATTACTTTATTGACACCATTTTACCTTTTGGCAGATGCAGCAAATGTCAAACTGGAAAACAAGGGAGATCTTTCATTCTTTTCCAAGCAGGATGAAATGGTAAGGGACATCAAGTTGTATTATAATAAGTATTTCAAAGATTATCAATTATCATTATTAAAGAATTACTGTTGACTGTGACTTTACATTTGGTTTAGAGTAGCTAGCTATTTCAAAAAGTGTTTATGGATTTTGTAGAAAAAACCCAAAGGTTATAGCAAACCAAAGACACAAGCAGCTAGAAATCAACAGCAGCAACTTAACAGAGGAAAGAGCAACAAGAGCCCAGCTGCATCTGATAAAACTGTCAAACAGGTTTGTTTATATTAGAACATGATTACACAACACATTACACGTAGATTAAAATTCATATACACCTGTTCTGTATACTGATTAAACCTTATATTTTTGAAGCTATTGGGTGAGATGTATGCAGACAAAGAGTATCTGGAAAAGCTGCTAAATGATGATGGTAAGAGCATTTATTTAATAATTATTTCAAAATTATACAAAATTGACCATTAATTTGTACCTAATTCTGCAACTAAAGYGGGATCCATTGAATAACCACTACATTACACTTACATAATACAAACAAATTATTACAATTTCATTCTTATTATGTGTTCACCCTACTAACATCTTGAACTATACCTGTCTTATATTTCATTAATGTGTTTATTTTTTAATAGAATTTGTGCACAGCAAAAATAATAACAACCAGATCTATGATCTTGTTATGGGTGGACTTAACTATCTTGAATCAAGAACTGAATTTTGGAGACAGCAAAAACCACTGTATGCTCGTAAAAAAGAGAGGCCAAAACCAAAGAAGCCTGCACAAAAGAGTAAACCCGGTGATACCACCAAGTTTATACTACGGTCTCTTGAAGAAATTGACCTGGCTTTAGCTGATGGTGATGCAGAAGGAAGTTTGAAACAAGCCCAGTCAACATTAAGAACAGTTCAGTCCCTTGGAGAAGATAGTGTTCCTAATAAGGAAGATGTTATTGGAAATCTGCACTCTTGTATTGGAAATGCTTATCTCGAAATGGATGACAACAAGAAAGCTCTGGAACACCATCAAAAGGATCTTAAAATCGCAGAAAAATTGTAAGTTTGCATGGTCTTGAATAAAAATAATAATGTTGTTTTTAATAAACTTGTATTAATAAAAGTTCAATAGGAATTCATGTGTTCATAGTTGCAATTCTGCCAATTTCCAGAGAAAATAAGGTTGGAAAATCAAGGGCATTGGACAATCTGGGTAGGGTTTATGCCAAGGCAGGGGACTATGGAAAAGCAATTGACCAATGGATGGATAAAATGCCACTAGTTAAATCACCATTGGAAAGCACATGGTTGTTTCATGAGGTRGGACGTTGTCATCTTGAGCTCAAGAACTTCCAAGATGCAAAGGAATATGGTCAAAAATCTCTTGCTGCAGCACGAGAAGCTGATGACCAAGTATGGCAGCTTAATGCAACAGTTCTTATTGCACAGGCTGAAGGTWAGATATCATAAAAATTATACAATAGTAAAATAAGAGAAATCAATAAAACTGGTTTAATTCAACATTCTTTTGTTTTGTCTTTCTCTCTTACTCTTTATCTAGTAAAATTGAGTGAGCTACAAGATGCACTTGAGTCTTTCCAGCAAGCCCACGACCTCGCAAAAATATTGGAGGACGAGGCAGCTGAGAGTGCAATATCTAAGGCTATCAGAGATGTAAATGACAGAATTGCTCAAGGTAAATTATTAATCTGACAACTCCTTTCCTTCTGTCAAAGTCATTGTCATAAAACAAGTTTTGTTATTGTAATATTTATGTAATTTATTAAATACAGCTAATCTCAAAACATTGTTCAAAACAATGAAATAATAAATTATGTAAAGAGTTGATGATAAAGTATTTGATTTSCTATGAAGGAGTAAAGAGCAGTGATGACAGCCAACAGGAGGAACAAAAACCAGAAGACAAACAAGATGAAGAGCAAACTAAAGATGTAGCGCAAGAACAAGAAAAACCTGAGGAGGAAAACAATTCCTCAGAAGCTCAAGAACCTGAACCTGTTAAGCAAGATGTTGAGCAAGTTGAGAAAGACACAGCTGAAGTAGAGCAGAGCAAAGAAAAGGAAAATCAAGATGATGCAACAGCTGAATAAGAATCGAGTAGAATATTACAATGTTAGCAGTTTGTACTTTGTATAACTTTGTCTTGAAAATGTATAAAAAATTGTTGTCAAAGTGTTGCTTAGAATAAACTTGTACAAATTCACACAAACAGCACTAACTTGGCTGGTAGTTGATAATTATTGGTAGTTGATTATTATTGGTGGTTGAGCATGAATGGGRAATGAACAATGGTCATATTTACAGATTCAGCTGGGAATTGTTTGAGWTGRGTATTGGCCTAAACAAGCCAAATAAGAGAGAGACATCTCRGATCATTACACACATTGTCTTCTGCTAGACTAACAAACAAAATAGCATTCAATCATAACTGAAATACAATACTTACAAAAATGTATCTTTGTTTATTATTAAATACAGTTAAGATACAGTAAGGACAAAAAATGATGATCAATATATTTAACAGGCAATGACTGATTTCCAATAACTCTTTTCAGTTCAGTTGCATAGGGATGGCTAACACTGATAAGATCTTTTTTTATGGACTATATACAGTAAATCAGTGAGGATTAAYTACTGAGATCTTCTTGAGTGTCTCTTTTACACTATCCCAAGCTATTTTGCCTATTTATTTATTACATGAATGTTGTAATTGTTTTCTTTAGAACAAACTGTTCTAGCTCGTGCAATGGGTGTTTATCAAATAAATTTTCATTAAAACCAATGTTATGGAATACTATAGTAAAAATGTCTCATTGTTAATTTAGAAACTCTCTTGGAGTGAGATATACTCGGACACCCTGATGAATAACAATAACAACTCCTTTGTAGGAAACTCTTGCAATACCAGCCTTAAAATCATTCATGGCTCCTASTGACTGAGCTAAACTCTCAAATTCTCTTTTAGAGGAGTATAATACTTTAACGTCATTTAAACCAGAAGACTTCACGTTTTCAATGGTTAATGTAGGAAGTGTAACAACTGTATTCCTAAACTTTTTGTCATAATTGTCCTTTAGAAGATAMGATAAGTCTGTATGGCTGAAAGGATAAATGTTGTCATTCAGCTTAATGTACTTGAGATGTTGATTGAAGAATTGCCCATTACTAACACCTATTTTCCCAAAAGTTCTTGTCCGACATATCTCTGGACGAATGCAAGCACGGTTCTTGTGTTGTGCTGGATCTCTCATCCAGTCATCCCAGAATCCTAAGGGCCATTTTGTCCTTAACTCATCCCAGACTTGTTTTGTTATCATCCAACCAAGTCCTGAGAAAAAGTCAGTTCTGTACAGGATATCATTTCCTTCAACCATCCCTTSTTTKCCATTATCATTCCATGCAGACACACACCACAAGGTTGGGTCTTTGCTCAGCAATGGTCTTGTTGCAGAGAAGTATTCATARAAATCTGGAGCTGAAAAGAAATAGAAGATAAAATAATGGAGATTTATTTGACCAATATTTTTCTATATGACCAAATATCAAAGTGGACACAATGTTGATTATAGAATTGAACAAAATGTATTTGAATAAAAGATAGCTTACTGGGAACCATAAGCCACCATGTTTCCATATTACAATCACTAGGATCTTAGCGATCCTGGAGATTTTACGTGAAAACTCTCTAGCAATCTTGGCAGCCAAATGGAAGCAAAATGATCACCTAGATTCCTAATACATATAAAAACCAGTATAAATGAAGAATTTCTTTACCTATATCCAAGTCATCTTCAACAATTATCACTGTCTCATATTTTAAGACATCAAACACTTGTGTTARAGCCCATTTATAGTGTCTACTAATCTTATAATACCCCATAAAATGTACCATATTAGAAGGAACACCTTTTACAGGTCCCAGATCAGGTTGCTGAATGAAATGTACTTGGTTACCATAGGACCTAATGACTGCAGCAGTCTCCTCGTGACCGCAGTCTTGGCTCACAACAATAGGGAACCTTTCAGCTGATGGACGATAYTCTAACAGTTTATCCAGACATCGTTTAACCGTTGGTCGGTTACACGCAATTACCAGTGTAACAAATTTATAATTTGGCTGTTGAGACCTGTCATCTTGCTGTAAGTCTCGACTCTCTTTGTGGATGGTCGTTTTGGTAACAGGATTCTCTAGTATTTGTTTGAAGTCGTCTTTTCTCATATCCATTGTCACAAAGTTTTCTTCTTGTTCGTCTTCTYTTTCGTGGTGATTCGCCTTTTCAGAGCCATGCTTTCTGTTTAAGTCACTAATGTTTTCTAACGGCGTAGTAAGGTAAATCTTACTTTCGCCCTTGTTCAAAGCGATCTTTTCACGCTGTATTTGCACAKTATTTCTTGACGTAAACTTGTACAAGAGGATTATGTTTGCACCACAGAAGATGCATAGTACAAGCAATATTGTTAAAGCATTTTTTCTAAAGAAGATAACACGCATTTTTTTCGATCAGTTCCAGCACTTCATGCTACGTGTAACTTCCATTTGTGGAAAAGTAGTCAGCTGACTGGTTCATAACGAGTGCTCAGAAAATGATAAAAGCTAAGCTAGGCGCTCATCAGAAAAAAAACAACAACAAACAAACAAATATTAAATAACAACAACATTTATAAATGATTGAGAAAATACACAAATAATAAGCTATGGTAGAATGAATAGAAAGTGGGCACAAATAGGTCACGTGACTTCCTTTGCTGATCCAACATAAAATGAGAAAAACAGAAACAACAACAACAACAACAACAACAACAAATAAAAAAATCAAGGGGATACAAAAGTTTCAGCATCTCTTGACCTGAATCTACTTCCAATCTTTTTTTCATTCCCTTGGACTGCAACTTCGACTCTTCCGAATGAATTTGAATTTGATTTTCATAAAAGCCCAAAACATGAAGAAGGCTAATAAGGATAAATGCCCAGCGGCTTTTAAAAGCACACTCTCATTTCTTTCATTCGTTGCTTGCATGACTTTTTTCACTCTGGGCTTCAAGACTCTCTGCTTATGCTTCCACAGCACGGACTTGCACAGTCACGCAAATTCAGAAGATCTGGTATGGGATATTTTGATGGGGCACCTTTCTCATTATATTACTGTAGCAATAAAAACTTCAAATAACATTTTTAATACCTGCACCATAAAAGGTCATTTTTACTRACCAATGAAAATTAATCTTGTCGGAATCTCTTTGTCATATTGATGACAGAATAGTATTTTATATGTGTCAACAAGAGTCAACAATTCAAACTATTAAATTTCTGSCTGCGCAATTATCATTTCCGCTCACACGCAATCGAGGCTGAGAGAAATTTGACGAATTTTAGCGAAGATGGCGGACGTGAAAATCCTGTATGTAAAGTTTACCATGG